AAAATTTTAAAATTATGTATAATATCGGTTGGTTTGGTCTCGGATTGGTTTTTTTAGTTAAAATCAAATCAATCCAAATATAGTCGGGATTTTTTTTTAACACCAAACCAAGTTAAACCAACCACTAGTCGGATTTTTTTCTCGATTTGATTTTGTACACCCCTAACTTGTGTATACAAAAACGAGAATCGGTTTAAAGTCCAAAAATCAACATCTTTGGCCCAATGTTTCTGAAGGCCCAAATTCTTCTCTCCTCTCTTTATTATTATTTAATTGTCTTTATTTATTGTTTGTTATTCTAATCATTAAGTCTAACTTAATTGAATTTCGCATAGATGAACCATATTCTTTATGTTAGTTTATTTTAATAAAATTTTATTTTTATCAATTCTTGTATTTTAATTAAAAAAATATTTATTCTTGAATTAATTTAAGACAGATTTCATGTTTTAAGTGATCAAATTAGTTTAAATCATTATTTTTAAAAAGTTCAAATATATTTTAATTAATTTAGTTGTTTTGTTAAATTTCAATCACTTGTAAACAAATTCAAATATTTTAATCAAGGGGCTTTCTTAAAAAATTAAAATAGTTCTTTGTTTAACTTTTGTTTCAAGTTAATATGGTAAGATATCTTTATAATCATTTTTCCAAAAAATAGCAAATAATATTTTCATCAAGTAATAGAATTACTGCGTGTTAGCAGGCAGTCGGGCACTATAAATGCTTTAAAAACTTTCTTGAAGTGTAAATAAGAACTTCTTATTCATTTCCTCTAAATTTATAAAAACTTAATTTGTTAGAGTCTTTTTTAAATCAAGTTTTATTCATTTCTTTCAAAAATTAAGTGTTGTCTCTTCTCTAAGTATTTTTCTTAAATTGTTTTATACTTAGAACATTTTAAAAAGTAATTTTTCTAAAATAGTAAAATTACGATATAACGAAAACGACGACTCTTCTCAAGTATTTTTCTTAAATTGTTTTATACTTGGAATATTTCAAAAAATATTTTTTCTAAAGATATTAAAATTTTAGCATAACAGAAATGGTGACTCTTTTCTAAGTATTTTTTCTCAAATTGTTTTATTATTAAAACATTTCAAAAAGTGATTTTTCTAAAGATAGTAAAATCACGGTATAACAAAATGTACTCATGTCGTTCGACATGCATCTTATTGTGATGCAAATATAGGTATTCAGGATCATCAACGTGTTTTTCGTTTCTATATAGGACGTGAGGACGAACTAGTTCAACATTGTGAATAGTCTTACATACCTAGAAGAACAAAGAGCTTGATTGGAAGCCTTGAAACCTTTGTCTTCTTTGCGGTTTTCTTTGAGTTGGGGGAATTGAGAGCATAATATAAAAGAAAATTGAGTACTTGGTGGAATATATTCCCTCGTCATGATTTGGGCTTAGGAAAAGTGGAAAAAGAGAAGAGAAACCCAACTAAAAAGTAGTCAAAAACCTTTCACGGGGCCATCTACGATTTGTGGTTTGATCTACGAACTGTATATTCCATTGTGGAACTTATATTGAAATTTTAATGCTGAAAAGTTTCCTATGGGTCCAAATTATGACCCGTGGAGGTTTCCATGAGCCATAGATGAGTTCGTAGAAATTGAACTCAGGCCCAAATTTGATCCTCGGTACTTTTTTCATGAGTTGACAGAACGAGTTATAGGTTAATCTACAACCTATAGAAAGAAACTGTAGTTCATTAACTCAGAAAACTCTACTTCAGTAGTCTCTAAACATTTTCATCTAAACTTGAAATGAGACAAATTTTGTGAATTTGGAAAGAGGACTCATAAATATTTAATTTCACAGTTTATGAGCCACTAATTCATTATGTGCTGAGAGATGTGATCATATGAAGTTGACCTAAGTAGAATCGTATATGAAAACTTAATCGGTAAGGAATCTTCCAACTCAACATTGTGCTGGGGAATTCTAGCGACTTTAATTTATCTCCAAATTCATTCTCGTACTAAATAATTAACCTTAACATCTAAGAATAATTCAAGAAGCACATGACACTGCTTTTTTATAAATGAAGAATGATTTGAGTCTCAATTTTAAATTTTTTGGGGTGTTATAACATTACTCCCTTGAGATCATTCTTCCTCGAATGATGGTTAAGTTGAGCATGGATGAGAAAGGAGTTACTCTTACCATTTTTTTGACGTATGAACTTTTCTACTAATATAGGCGGACGGATTCATACTAGAGAGTTTTGAAATTGAACAAAGATATGAGTTTGAACATACTCGCTCTCTATTTGAAATTATTTGACATGAAACAAGGATATGTGGGCATGAAGTAAGAATGAGAATATTATTCCTTAAGAAATACGATTTGGTAGATACCAAACTTGGCAAACACCCACACTTCATTAGCTACAACCCATAGCTTTCACAAAGGTATAGGACTACTTTTCGAAGTTACAAGTCTAATTGCATGTTCTTACTGAGTTCAAGCCTGACTCTAAATCACAAGGTACTATGCATAAGATGATTATATTTATATAAATCACAACATTTAGGATATATGCCTCTACAGGAAATCTCATCCCAAGAATACTACTCTTTATCATTGTGTTCAACAAAACATCATAACCTCTATGCATTTAATACATCATGTATTCATCCACATGTAACAACACCACATTCATGCCTAGAAATATAACCTCTCCATGAACTTTAACTCAGCAATTCTTCTAAAAAATTCTCATTCTCTCATCATTTCTATCGGTAGAAATATCACGCATTACTATCAGGAAATCTAACTAGTCTCATCTAACTATTACTCATAGTAAAACTTCATCTCATTTTTCCTCCACATTTATAACCTTAGATAGAATAAACACACAACCCGTATGACAATAAGAAACATCAACATTCTTCTTCTATCATCACTCAACTACTATTATCAACAACATTATCAAAACTAAAAAGGATTATTGAAAGAGTTTAGGGCGAAAGATCATAAGCAAGATTCATTTGAGAATTATGATATAAGAATATGCATGCCATAGCATATGTTTCTAGCTATTGAGAATAAGTCGTGAATTCACAAGATCGATGAGACACGATTTCTTATATGAATAGGTGCATATCATGATACTGATATCCATAACTTATGGAGTAAGATTAAGATCAATGGGTTAAAATTTATTTCCCTCATTCTTGGAACTGAGCATAGATATGATCTGTATGAAGTGTATGAGCATTGGTCATGAACACAATAATGATATTAGAAACACCAAGATGATGTTGTAACGACTGAACTTTGAGGAATATGCTAGAGTATGAATATATCGATATATCACTTTAACTCTTTTTTAATACATCACTGTTTGATTCTCAACACTTGACTTGGTTTCTTATTTTATCATCTTCCCCTTAGGCCTTCAAGTCTAAAATTGTTACTTTAAAACTATGAATCTATTCTGTCTTTTCTAAACAAGTTTATGTTCGATTTACTCTAATACTCAGGAAAGACTAATCTTATGACTATTGAACTCTCAATATATAGGTACTAAGATTCCTTCCAAGACATTTTTCTAAAATGTTTCTCTTAGCCTCTTCTCATTGGTTTATAAAGCTGCTTAGTCTACTTCTAAAAGTCGGACTTCTCCTTCTCAATCTACTAATACAACCTTTTTAAGTTCATATCTACCTAATTGAGGGAACTTGAACTATCGTTAAAAGCTTCATCGTTCACAGAGCTTTATATCTCTTCTGTCTAATGCTTACATTAGCATACTCAGATTAATAACTTCACTATACTATCTAGGCACACATGAAAAAGATCATAAATTTAATTAGAACCTTGTCTTATTACATACTATCTCGGGTACACTCCTTAATGCGCTTGTTAATCTAGTGACTTATCCATTGATGAAGAGAAACTCATTGATGAAGTTCCCACATACCTTGAATGGAACCCTATCTTGGGTGGAAGGTTTGAAGCTTAAATCTTTTATTCTTGCCTTCGAGAAAACTTTGAAGACAAGAATCGATTTGGGGTAAAATAGAAGAGAATGAGAGGTTAGGGTCCTTAGGTAACACTTAACCTACTTAGAATGGGACAAAACCACGCAGTGTAGGAATTAAGAGAGTTAGATAAGACCAAATACTCCTGACTAATAAATTGGTGGAGCAGTCTCGAATGCCTTCATGGACTGTATACCACTTCACGGTCCGTGAAGGTGTCCCTAGAAGGCCTGAAAGGATCGAGGTCTAGTTCCCGAAGGTCATCTCCCACAGAAACTTCTATAATTTGTTGATCAATTTATGAGTCATACAACCCGTGAAAGACAGATTCTGAGTTCTGGGATCCTTAGATTTACGGACACTTCTACAATTTCACATTTCACGTTCCAGTAAAAGCTTACGTGAACACTCTTCCAAATTTCCAACTTTCTGAGTTCTAGCTTACCGATCTCATTCAAGGCCCTTTGGTGTCTTTCACGGTCTGTGGAAGGGTCCGTACAAACGTATTTCTACAACATTTCAATACTTTCTGATTCTCAAGGTTTGATCTAGGCTTAGAAACTTTTGGAGTGTTACATAATCCGTCCCCCAATTATCAAAACCTTGGTCTGTTTCTAAACTTTACTCAAACTCTAAACTTTAGTTCGCTTTCTCTTCTTCAAGATACATGTTCAGTTTCCCTTTTATGTAAAGTCATTGTCTTTCACGCGTCTGCTATCTTGTTCACATCTCACATCTATTTGTACCCTATAACATTGCGAGTATTTGAAAACCGTAATTTTATTTTAAAATGAAAATGACATTTGACATGTGGAGTGTGTTCGATCATGAAATGCAAATTGGAATTGTTTTTGGAATTTTTGTAAATATTTTAGAGTGAAAACAACTTTTTGATATTATCTTTTTCAAATTTCTGAAAATTCGGAATTCAACTCCAAAAAGTTCTCCAATCAAACGCCCTTTATATAACCAAAGATCACTTATTTGCTTACCAAGCAATGAAAGAAAACAAACATTTTATTTGCAGAACTCTTGGGCCTGTGTAGAAGCAATATAACTCCTGTTAGGAAATTTTCAATTAGGCAAATGCCACAAAATCATTTGCATCCACAACTTAAAGGACAAAAGATACAACCACCATAAGCTTCTTCAAGTCTACATGGTTAAAACAATACAGTTTTTTATTTCCACCAAGTGAAATGGCAACCACTTTGTAAACATCTTTTCTCCACAAGCTAAATCTACTTACCGGCCAGGTTGACTTGTTGCTTAACTCTCCGAGCACATTCTGCAAAATTTTGAACCACATTAGCACAACTTAGGGGATCCTTTTCATGTTCCTTGTAGCATTTAAAACAAGCATCTCTCTCATCCAAGCATGGGATAGGCTTTTGATTTGGAAGTTTGAATTCCTTGTCGTGTAGATCCTTTGCCTTCTTTGTCACTTCTTGCAACATTTTTTCCTCATGTTTCTGCAACTTCTCCACAGCCTCTTCGCTCTCTTTAAGCACAGATCGAATAGCATCTAATTCTGCAATTGCAGGATGAGGTGGTGGAGGGACTGGGATCAACAAAGGAGGCTGAACAGGCCATCCTGTAGCAGCACGCCCCCTCGTTTCATCAGGATCACTAGAGATTAGCTTCTGATGTGCTGTTTTGTTTTCTCTTTGTACCTTTGGTTTTGGTTTCCTCGTTTTCTTCTTCAATTTTTCACCCTCATCAGCAAGCTGTTTAACTAAATTGCTGTGGATCTGTATAGTGAATGATTCACCCATGAAGACAGCAGATCTTCACAAGTATCTGAAAGATCAATTCATCCTAGTCATATAATTTGACAACTTGAGACAAAATGAGAAAACTTGCATCTCAATAATGGAAGACAACATAATACCAAAAGAAGCAGTTAAGCCCAGACAACCAGTACTGATGTACTTCTGGAACAGTTCCTCTTCTTTTCTTTTAACTAAACTTCCCTATATAAAGTCATTTTTCCTTAAGTTAATCATCTTTTGTTAAGAGTACAGGAATGTTCAAAACCAGTGCCAACAGATCGATATATTGATCAGATTATGTGTATGGTTGTTCATGTAAGTATAAGCAATCTTTAGAAAATGCTAGTCAGCAAAATCCGTCAAATAATTTATACCCAACAACATTTACTAAAAGAAAGACCAAGGACATGCAAAAGTAATTAAGATAGGCAACTGAAAAAAAGGAACAGTTAAATCAAATTATATCATTTCAGAAATAATTAGAAATCTCAATGATTACCGAGGCATCCACAATCATTTGTTTTATTAATTAATAAGACGACAAATAACTAGTTATCAGAGAATCTTAAGTTCCACTTTGCATTATTTTAAAAATTGTTTTCCTCAAGCAACTTCTTTGGGTGTTCATCTCTAAAATTCAATTTCGATGTAGTAAAACTCCATATGTTCTAGCAGAATTGGTCACTCAAAATTATGGTCATTGCGTGCATTGGAGTACTAAACCAGTAAGTTCTTCCTTTGGGGTTAGTATATATAAAGCAATCAGGAAATATTGGAAGGAGTTTGTTGTGAATACTGGGTTCAGACTTGGCAATGGCAGGAAACTGTCATTTCTGGAGTGATAATTGGTTAGGACATGGTCCTCTTAAAAGATTCATTTTGATCTCTACACCAGAAACTACCATATGGAAGATGCTTGGAGCTAGCAGGGATAGGATCTCTCTTTTAGAAGATTGCTAAATCATTGGAAGATCAAGAAGGTGGCTGAAATCCTGAAGACACTAGAAGTCTTCCTGATATAAGAAATACAGATCATTCAATAGAATGGACAGTGTTGTGAAAAGCGCGCGACCCTTGTGCGCTTTTTTATCTTGCGGCGAGGCGATCTGAAAAAAGCTCTCGCTTCAGATGAAGAAGCGAGAAGCGACCCTAAGGCAAAAGCGCAATAAAGCGCGCTTTTTATAAAAAAAAGCGACAATTAGGGTTTTTTTTTAAAAAATTAGGTTTTAAAAAAAAATCTGAAATATAACCTTCTCTCTCCTCGACTCTTCTTTCACGACTCTTTCCCTTCTTTCTCTCCTCGCGACTCTTTTTTCATAATACTTCTTTCACAATACTTCTTTCCCTTCTTTCTCTCTTGACGATCTCGACTGAGGCTGCCTCTCTCTTCAACCTCTACCGCGACTGCAACTAACTTTTTGTTCATCTATTTTCCCTGGGTGAAAGTCCCTGGGTTTGTAGGCCTTGTCGTACGAATTCCACCCATTCAGGGTCCTTATCAGGTTGATTTTTTAGCTAATGTTTATTAGTTCATCTCTATGAGTTTCTTTTCTCTTGAAATATACAATCTTTGCCTGTGCTTCATCTCTTCATCTCTCTGAGTTTCGACTACTCTAGTTTTTTCTTCTTCTTCTCTTCTTTTCTTCATCTCCGCTGCCTGCTCTGTTTCTAATTACTGACTGTTGCCTCCTTTTTTTTTTCAATTCTTTTTCTTTTTTTTTAATTATTTTGTGATCAGTCTAGCAACCTTGTTGAATAATAGGAGTTTGAATCTTTGTGATTTAATTATGTTTTTGATTTTTTGCTTTATATGTTATATGTTATGACTTATGAGTATTTTTGCCTATGTAATTTCTTTCAATCTAAGACTATATTACCTCTATTTAGTTATTTAATATTTTTTTATTTTTATACTAAATGTCGCTTTTTTTTAAAAAAGTGTGCGCTTCGCTTCACGCTTCTCGCTTCTGTGAAGCAAGCCCTCGTCGCTTTTTTCCGCTTCTCGCTTCCCAAAACACTGGGAATGGAACCAGCAAGAAATTGTTTACAGGCAGCTCAGCTTATCATCTTCTATCTGATACTAACTACAATAGTTTTGATTAGCCTTGGAAATTTATCTGGAAAACAATCTCCTTACAAAGTGGTCTGTTTCACTTGGTTGGTGGCTAGAAAAGCATTTTTGACACATGAAAACTTACAGAAAAGGGGGACCAAATTGACTTCCAGGTGGTTTTTTGTGCCAAGAAGGGGAAGGAAACAAGCCATTTGTTTCTTCACTGCAAGGTTACTGGTATATTATGACAAGTATTTCTGTCTTTTGCTGGGACAAATGGCTAATGTAGCTAGGTAGTAACAGGCAGAAGAAGTGGTGGAAGGTTATCCCAGCAAGCATATGGTATTATGGTGGACTGTGGGGAAAGAAAGAGTGCTAGGTTCTTTGAAGACGGTATGCTCTATACAGAAAACCAAGACTAAGTGACATTTGTCTCTTCTTTTCTGGTGTAAAAATAATTCATGTAAATTAGATGATGCACAATAATTTTTTGAATCTTTGTACGATGAACAAAGCCTATGCAATTGTAAATATTGATACCAACACCTCCTTGGTCCTGATGAGTACATATGTTACCTTTATCAAAAGAATTTGTTACTTCTTGTTTTTTCCCCAGCGATATGGTATACTTTTCCAGACAGATTATATTAAAAATCTGATAAACATGGGAGGTCACAGTTGCAGGTGTAATAAAGACAAACTAACAACAATAATGAATGTACATTGCAACTATTGTGTTATCTCAGTTAAATGGAAGACAGAACACAAATTTAAGGCTCTTTTTTCTTTTCGGGGGGATGTTTTTTGGTGGTGGTAGATACTGTGGAAAAGCTAAGGAGCTCAACTTTTTGGATGGCCGCATGGGGAACCAAAGATGAAATACTGATGCAAAGGAGACATACAATCCTTGGTGCTACTTATGTACAGAGACATCTTATGATCACTCAAAGTTAAACTCAAATAGTAAGAAGAGTGAAGAGATCCATAAAATTGTGGTATCTTATGTAGAATCTATGTGAACTATGACGGGCAATTCCTAAAGCTGTGCAAAGATACGAAGAGTGGAAGAACAAGGGCTAGGAGATATAGAAGCAACAGAGCTTGCAACAAACAGTGACCATGTGGAAAAAGAAATTTCTGGACACATAGAATCCCACATGAAATTGCAAATGGTTATACATGACACCCCCACTTGAACAGATCAAGAAGATGAAACTCTTCTTAGGCTTTGGTGTATACGCCTTAGAGGTTCAGCAAGCAATTACTTCTTACATATTTTCCACTTATTCCATACCTGCATCTCTAACATATTTGACGGATGATACAGGGGTTCTATCGAAATCACATGGAGGAAGGGATCAAATTTTTCGAGACTCATCATCGGGTACATCAGTAAAGTCAATCGCTTTTTGTTCCCAGTAACTCTATTGAAGTGCATCTTATACTTTTTACAAGAATAGTGCTTCTTGATATACCATAGCTATAGTTTTTCAGGGCAGTGAATGTTCCAACATTGCTATAAAAATGACTTCTCATCATGATATTGTTTTGGATCTTCAGTTGTCAACTTGTTAGAACAATTTCTGGTAGTTTTCTAGGGATGTTAAGATTCAGAATTTTGCATTCTTAAGTTGTCTTTGCTTTTTATATAGTAGTAATGTAGTATATTTTTGACACTAGCAGTAACGTAGTAATATAAAGGAAGCTTTCTAATAAGAGAACTGCAGTAGCATTTGAGTGTTGCTATCAATGTGTCTCAAAGACAAACAGCTCTGTGTTTTCTCGTGGCTGAAAAATAATATGTAGGTATACTTTTTCTACAGGAAAGTGTCAGATGGAAAGAGACATGCTCTTTTCTCGTCCTATAGGTTTAAGAAAGACGGGGAGGGGGGGTGGGGGTGCTTTCTGATTCATATGTATGGAAAATACAAAGTTTTCATGAAAGCCTCATCTCAGAAGAAGCACGAATGCATATCAGCAATTAGTCATCTAGATTCGTAAAATGCAAGTGAAAGGACTAGGTGTGGTATACACGCACTTTTCCCAACTTATCTACTAGCAAATGAGCACCTCGTTTACACTTGGGTATTGTACTGTTGTATAAGCCCATCGAGGTATTTCTTTCTTTCTTTATGACCAAGAAATCCGTCAAAAGCCCACTGCCTTTAAAACTCGGGACAACCGACAACAGGTCTTCCCTCTACCCTTCTCCACTTGGCATAACAGACTTAAATAGGAACAGTGCAGAGCTAAAACCTATAACCTAAGTAAAAAGTCCCTCATCACATACCACTCGAATTTAGCCCATCTAGGTTTCCCCATAGCTGATTCTTTACTTCTTAAAGCTAACCTAGTATACCCATGACAAAGTATTTCATAATAAGAAAATAGGAACAAGTAAAAAAATCATAAAAACAATAATATCACAGCTGAGTGAACAGAGCATTATAATCATATATACTTATTATTTTTTCACAACCGTGGTCTCAGAGTCAGCTTCGGCATGGACTAATTCCACGAGATACTCGCCACCTCCGACAAGCAACAACTACCAGATAACTCTATTCACCATACTAAGATTCCAGTTTAACATACTTGATATCATTACCAAAATTATGAACAAACAGACCATTATAAACCCAAATTCACCCATACTTGAGGTTAAAATACATCGCAAAAGTGAGATATATGTAAAAAAAAAAATGATACATACATTCGATTCCGACAGAGAGAATTGTGAGGAGATCGCCGCAGAAAGAGATGGAGAAGACAATAGACCCGCAGAGAAGAATTTGGCAAAAAATTTCACGCAGAATTTGGGCTCTATTTGTTTGTTTTACAATAGAATTTGGGCTTGATAGCCCATATTCGGATATATATATATATATATATAGGAAAAATTGTATATAATAGCAAACTAATAATCTAAATTAAATGGAATAGCTAGGGTTTGATTTAATTGTAATCCATAGCAAATATTAGCTAAAATTTGTCAGCGTCTCTCTCCCAAAAATCTCGCTCGACTCTCTTGCTTTATACACAGAAGTGTATAATTCTGTTTCTGTTTTGTATAAAGCGAGAGCAAATTATATATACACATGCAAAAATGTATATCTTCGTGTTATACACTTAATTATACAATTTAAAAACATTTTACTTCAAATATTGCAGAGAAAAAGGCCAACGAATAATACAATTGTGAATTATACAATTGCAGTGAAATACAATTTTCTCTAGCTTTATACAACAGAAGTGTATATATTGTGTTTCTGTTTTTGTATAAAGTGAGAAAAACATATATCTTCTTGTTATACACTTATAATTATGCAATATACATACATTTTAATTCGATTCAATTGTATGCAAAACAAATTATACAATTGCAGCTAAATAGGCCAGCGAATTATACAATTTAGGCCAGCGAATTATACAATTGTATATGTGTAGCAAATTATACAGTTTTATATTTGCTATGGAGCGCAATTATGCAAAGTTTGTTATAGCATACAAATATGAATTTTTTGTTTGCTATATGTGAAAGTTGCCTATATATATATATATATATATATATATATATATATATATATATATATACTGAAATAGAAATGTTCATGATTTGGATAAAGTTGATCTAAATTGAAAAATTTAATTAAATTGATTAAATAAATTAATTTTTTGTCTGAATTTGATTTGGTCTTGATTTTGTTCAAAAAATTGAAGAAATAATCAAATCAAACCAACAAATTGTCATATATTTTTATTTACATAAACATAGTCAAAAGTTATAGAAAGATGCAATAAATATACAAAATAGATTATCTATATGTGAGTTATACATTATGTTACACTCAAAAAATCATATATAGTTTAACTATACATGGAGTATACTTTGACTATTCAATTTCAACTAACAAAAATCACTTCCAAAAAGTCTCAAATTTGGATATGAAATCCTCTCGATGTTTTGAGACTTCTAGTATATAATTTGTTTGAAACAAATTATTTTTTTTGGTGATACATCAAATTTCGAAGAAAAATGAGAAGTAATGAAGAAGGAGATGCATAAAAAGACAGAAAAAAAGGATGACATGGAAAAAGAAAGTATGGTCGAATGACATTTTACGTATCTTTATAAATTGGGCTTAAGAAATAATGAGTAAAGCTAATGGACTGATATTTTGCATAATGTTTTCTTTTAATTCTTAGTAAGTTTAGTTGATTAAATGAATTTCAAATTCGTATAATTATAAGTCTAAATTTTACACATACACGTAGAGAATAACATGATATGAACGTCAATAATTTTAATTGTCTAGCTTTGAATTATTGGATCTGAAAGACTTTGGGAGCCAAATAATTATATTTATAATCAAATTTTAAAATTTCATCTTCACTCCCAAGGTTCGTCTCACCCTTTATCTCTCTCTCTCATTTTTCTCCTTCTTATTCGTCTTCTCACTTCTTCCACCCACCGACAGCTATTATTGTCGACTCACTTCATTTTTTCTTATTTTTAATCTACTAACGATCATTACCATGTTATTTTTTTCTAACCTTTTTTTTTTGTGATCCCACTCTTTCATTCACTTAGAAGCAATTACCTATATTTTTTTTTAAAAAAAATGAAATAATTAAAGAAAAAGACGAAGGTAAAAGAAAACATTCATATATGAACTATCAAATGATTGATAGCACATTTACATCCTAGCTAGTAAGCGGATGATAATACACCTTTATCCTAGCTATTGAGTGAAGAATGGTCATACATGCATACTTAGTTATCGAATCACATGTTATATGAGGCCTCTCATGGCTCTTGAGTTATGAATAATCCGTCCGATATGACATTTAAATGCATACATTTATTTTTATTTAACCTAAGTTATGTTTCATTATGCATAGTATACTAATATATTTTCTTTGTATATATCGATACTCCGTTGTCATAAGTGTTACATTTCGTGATGTAGGTGTAGGTAAAGCTTCAAATAGGTCCTTCCAATAAGAATTTGTCGAATTCAACCTTTGGTTTATAAGAACCATTCCTTCTGAAGCTGTTGAATTGGCAACTTAAAGTCGTAGTTACATATATGTAGTTGATGTCCAAATGGTAGGGCGGGGTCCTACCTTAGATGTACGATAAATATGAAGCCCATAAAGATTTGTAGATCCATGTTATGCGTTAATATGTTTTGATTGGAATATGTGCGATCATAACCAGTCAACGGATCAGGTCCCTTGACACAGCAAGAACAGTGCGGAAGATTAAACAATATAAAGAACACAACACAAGCAGTTTACGTGGAAACCACCTTGCTCAAAGGAGTAAAACCACGACCTGTTGCACAGGATTTACAACCGTCTTCACTAATCTTCTCAAGCAAAAGCGAAACCCGGTTACAATCAATGTGAGAAAAAGTTATTAATCTCACGATCAAGTAATCTAGCTATTACTTGAAGAGCCTAAGCGGATACAACACCGCCTACTAAACCACCTAACTCTAGATGACTTAGAATTTGACTAAGCAACAAACCAATGTTGCCCACTAAATCAGTTAGCCTTAGCTGATTTAGAGTTTTACAAACCCAAAATAAATATCTGAATCCTTTATAGATTAGGAACAGATTTACAATGTAAGTACATAGACACAAAGCTCTAAATACAATAAAGATTCTTCTTCACTCTATCAGGTCCTTCTGTTGAGTTGAGCAATGTTCTTCCTTGAAGATGACCTTCTGTTCAAGCTTGTGAATTTTCAGAGAAAATCAAAGTTTAATTTGCCAAGTCTTAAATTTGTGTTTGTTGGAAAGAGATAATATAATTTTCCACAAATTCGTTGAAGGCATCCCATTGGCTGAAGTCCTGCTGTTGGAATAGTTGTGCACCTACCGCATCAGAGATGACAACTTTTCTGACAGCTGTCTTTTCGTCCTTTTCACGTCGCAGTCTTGCAGGTACCAGGTCCCTTGCTTGCGGGAACCAGGTCCATTGCAAACTTCTATATGAGTTCTTGAAAAGGCGTGCTGGCTGACTTCCATCTTTGGATGAATGAATATAATATGATGTTTGTCATGCTAAAAGTATCAAACATGAAGAGTTATTATCTGTTGGACAAACACCCTCCTCCATTCTAATTGGTGTAGTACACTGACGCCTTACCAACCTCTGACGTGACAGCTTTACAGCTGCAACCAATTATGTATTTGATAGAGGAAACTCTGCCTGGTACCAGGTCCCTACATTTGTAAGATACTGAAACATACAATCTTGTCCGCTCTTCTTATTGGTGTAGGATACCGCACTTTTCACCTACCACCTGACATGACAACTTTTATGACTATACCCCATTTGTATCTGGACGAGAGCACTCTGCCAGGAACCAGGTTCGCGCATTTGTGAGGATCATCAAAACACCTAAAATATAACACATGTTATGTGTTAATATGTTTTGATTGGCCTTATCAGTCTTGCTATTAGTTGATAGTCTATTTTTTTGGCCTCAGCGCCTTGTGTGTGTACATATATATGTGTTTGTTTATTGGTCTAATTTTTGTGTAGATTAATCTCTATAAAGATCTTATTGATTTATTTGTTTTTTTTAGTTAGTTGGACATATGTGTTTATAAGTCGATATTGTCGGCCCAAGAGGTTTATTGTATAATTAGAGTTGTGTTTGATTCGTTTGGTCAAGTGAGATATAGAATACCTATTGTGACTCACCAAATTAGGAGCGTGACACTGCTTTGGAAGAATATTATATTTAAGTCTCACAATAATATTTTATTCTCTAAAAAAAAGTTTTGGGCCAATTTTGACATGAACAATCTATACTTGTAATCATACTTCAATTTCTATTTTATTTATAAATAAATAAGTAAATATTTTTTTTTCAATTACAAAAAATGTTTCAAACTAAGGGGTTGTTTGGTTAAAAAGTACATAAGTTATTATGGAATAATTTATTTATTTTGTATATGAGATAACTTATTCGCCATTAAGGTATGAAGTGGTGGGATAAATAATACATATTCTAATACCTCCAAGTAAACATATGATTACATTTTATTTATAAAATTATTATACCTCATATCAAATGACTCCTAAATGACAATGACATTACGGAGTGAAACCAATTATTATTAATCCTATATGATCCTGAAAATTGCGAAAGGTCGTTTAAAAGACGTTAAGAAATAAGCATTACAAAAAGGAATAACAGAAAATCAACAGCAAAAAAAGAATAATGTCTAATTCAATAACCAAAATTTCCCTAGCGAGGAGAATTTTCACATATAACATTTTATAAATAGTTTAATTATTTTTCATAATTATAGTTTACTAAATTAAAATTTGTAACTACATAAATAGGGAAGAGAGTGACGAGCGAGATTGAGAGAGCAAGGAGAGAGGGCAAAGAGTTAAGAGAGACAAATTGTGTGTGTGTGTGAAATAATTTCATATATGTAATTTATATACATATGTATTTGTATATCTGACGAGTGAGAAATTGGAGAGGGAGGAGAGAGGTGAGCGAGAGAGACGAACTGTATATATATATATATATATTGATTATTATATTTGCATATATGCATACAATTTGAATTCGTATACAATTAAATCGAGTTAAAACATTTGTATGTGTATATCCAATCCCTCTTTTATTTTATAGTTTTTATTTGTATAAAGCGAGAGATAAAGACAAAAGAGAACTTAATAGGGAAAAATTGGATTTGTATAATTATTAGTGTATACGATGTGTATATCCTGTTTCTATCGCTTTACACAAATACAAACACAAATTATATATTTCTGTT